AGTAGATGATAGACTAAATGGTAAAAATCCTTCATTGTAGTTTTTTGCAGAAGATACTGTCTGCAGAAGGTAAACCTGACGTTGTAATTTTTCTTTTGCACTTAATTTGATTTTTTAATGAAACAAGAAGATACTGGTCATCTTTTTTTATGATTAGTTTTTTATTATTTTGATTAACTAATATTTTTATATTAGTGTCGCAAATAGCGTAAAGTTTGTGTTTTAAAAAATCAGACATTGCACAGAAACAATAGAATTTCTTAGAAACGCAATTGGTTGTGGAATTGATATTCGGACAAAAAATAATTTGGCATCATAAAAACGAACGAAATTAACAAGAAACTTAGTTGAAATAAATTTTTCTCAAACAAATTTAGTTTTTACAAGTAATCATTAGATTCTGAAACGCAGCGCTGTATTGTTTTCATATATATTATATATGTTTATCTTGATTGTAGTTTTTTCTAACAGATCTTAATTTTTTTTTCTTTTTTTTTTGTTTTATCTGACATTTTTTTGTTCATATTTTTTAGCTGTATAGAGTTTTTTTTACTTGCACCAATTTCAAAGTAACTACCAGATTTATTAGTAAGAGCATTAAATACAGAAGATAACTTAGCAAAACCATCATTATAAGTAATGGTTGCATAGTAAACAGCCATTTCAACAACAACTTTAGAGATGAATATAGTTTTATGGGATCGGTTCCAAATTAGTTGATTAAATGCTTCATTTCCATTTTAAGTCATGCCATGCAAACATTTTGCAAGCATATCAGTATTTGTTAGATCTTGAAATACTGGCTTGATCTTTTCCATAATGGCAACGGGTAAACACACCTTTTTCTTGTATGTAACATGACCAGTTGCTCTATCAGACTGCCATTTACACCAGCTTTTTTCACTCTTGGTGCAAAACATATGACGATATTCTTCAGAGGTAAAATTAGTGCAATGATGAAGTGAAGCTATTACAGAGTTCCTCATTTCCAAAAGGCTATTTGATTTTTGTCGAATAGCCATTCCAACATAATTTTGCAAGATGTTAATTACTTTATCCATGAGACGACCTTTACAAGATATATATTTTCCGTCAGATAGTTTTACCCGTCGTAATTCTTTTCTTTTAAGACGCAATTGATTACCTGTACGCTTCTGGTAATGCCCAATACATTCTAGTTTTTTTGGAACAAGGTCATCACCATAAGATTTTTGTGCAACAACTGTGCTAAACGAGGTAGTTTCATTCCATTGGTATGCCATACATACGAACAGGCTCATTTTTTGATTTTGGGGGAGGATTTAATCCAGACACTGGAGAGTAAGTAGCTAAAAATATACATTTTTTTTACTTTTGTTTTTAGATTAATTATACTTGTATCTTGATTCCTTTTTTTTTTCAGTTTTGTTGCTCCTAAAGCAGGTTTTTACATTGTGAGTGCTGGAATAAAAATGGTTCTGGCAAGTGCAGTTGGTTCTAGCTTTATTTTAAATGTCGCTGTTAATGGAAATCCATCTACTTTACAATACCAAAATGGAATACAAAACTATCTTCAAAATGGTAATGTCGCACCTACTACAAAGTAAATACCTTTCTTGTAGTTTTTTTTTTATTCATTGTTGAAATATTTTGAAAAAGCAAAGTTAAAATTATAAATTTTTTATGTACTTGTTACTAATAGGTACTAATAATTTTATTTTTTCAGTTTTTAGTAAATTTGGTCATACTATTTAGTTTTTAGTTAGTTATAATGTCTTTTTTTTTTTTTTTTTAAGTAAATTATAATGCTTTATTATTTAGTTTGTATACTATACTTTTTTTGGTCTTTTAAATAGTGATTTTTACTCATTGGTTGTGTTTGGTTTGGTATTAGTTAATGCAGGTTAATTATAGTTTTTTTAATTAATATAAAAAAAATATATATATTTTGTGTTTAGTAAATAAAAACTAAATATTTTGTGTTTAGGTAATCTTTTAAAACTAGATTCAGTCATGGGTACAGTAACAGTTCAAGAGACAGGAATTTATTATATTTTTGTAAATCTTGCTATTGCTCCTGATTTGAATAATTATCAAATAGGTTTTGTTTTTTTTAATTTTTTAAAAGTTAATGCAAATCTGTAGTTTTTAAAATTACCAACGATTTATCAACTAAAACTATTAAAAATTGGTAATATAAAAATTGGTAATACTACTTTCAAAAATTTTTTATAATGGTATAAAGTTTATTTCTTCTACTTTAAAAATTTTTATAATGGTAATAAATAATTAAATTAAAAATTTTAATAGCTGTTTTTACAACATTAACGTCACATCACTAATAACAAGATTTAGTGATAAAGATCATCCTCAATACACAATGAGAATTTACGGTGCTTTATACCTGTAAAAAAGGTCTGGAGCTATCGATTAGGGTATTCTTAAATTCTTTTTAGTTATTTAATTATTTCTGGTTTATTCATTCATTTTTTAATAAAATTAATAACTTGACATTGTTTTTTTTTTAATATTTAAATACTAAACTTTTTATGACTTGTGTTTATTCACTTTTTAAATAAATTAAACATGTTTTGAATTTTTTTCTTTACATATTACTTAATTTTTTTATTTGCTTTAGGTTAAACACATAGCTTCAAATGCACAATGGGAAAATCTTATACAATAAGTCAAGACAGCTTTATGTCAATCATTTTCATTAGCTCTACCAACAATTTATATTCATCTGGAATGCAGTTAATGCTAGATCCAACACTTGATCAACAGCAGAGTGCTTCTGATTGGTCTAAAGTTAAATATTGGCAGAGCAACTGGCTGAGCACTGCAACTGGTGTTTTCAGCAGTGGTAAGTTTTCTTTTTCTTTTTTAAAATTTTTTTAAATGAAAGAGTTAAAAAATTAGATTCATCAATTGTCTTGCTAATACTTGATCAAAGTTTGCATTTAAAGATGGTGTCTTTTTAGAAAAATTTAAATTTTGTAACAAAAGCAATTAAAACAATTTTAAAAACAATTATTTGAGTAAAACATTAAATAGTGTTATTTGTTAAATAGTTTACGGCATTTATAGTCTTGGTCAAATAATAATTTTTTAACTCTTTTATTTAAAAAAAAGATGGATCAGCAACAGATTGAATATAAAGTGCAATGCTGTCACCTGCATTAACTAATTCCAAACCATACACAACCAATGAGTAAAAATCACTATTTAAAAGACCAAAACAAGTATAGTATACAAACTAAATAATAAAGCATTATAATTTACTAAAAACTAATATATAGCACATTAGAACTTACTAAAAACTTAATAGTAAGACATAATTTACTAAAAACTGATAAAATAAAATTATTAGTACCTATTAGTAACAAGTACCTAAAAAATTTATAATTTTGACTTAGCTTTTTCAAAATATTTAAACAATAAATAAAACAAAACCACAAGAAAGGTATTTACTTTGTAGTAGGTGCAACATTACCATTTTGAAGATAATCTTGTATTCCATTTTGGTATTGTAAAGTAGAAGGATTTCCATTAACAGCAACATTTAAAGTAAAGGTAGAACCAACTGCACATGCTAGAACCATTTTTATTCCAGCACTCACTATGTAAAAACCTGCTTTAGGAGCAACAAAACTGAAAAAAAAGAAATAAAGATACAAGTATAATTATCCTAAAAACAGAAGTAAAAAAAGTGTATATTTTTAGCTACTTACTCTCCAGTGTCTGGATTAAATCCTCCCCAAAATCAAAAAATGGACCTGCTGCAGTTTGAGATTTCCATTTTCCAATCTTAAACCAACCAGATGTAGTGTAAGCTAATCTATTTGTGAGAACTATTGTTACACCATAAATATTTGTCTGATACCCAACAAACAACATTGAAAAGGTTGAATCAATATCTATGGACAAGCTATTATCATTTTCAATCATAACATAAACATTAACATAAGAATCTAAAGAAAATATTAGCATTAATCTAATGAACATCTGGCAACTGATGTCAGTATTAACTCAATTGCACCAGACAATAAAAACATATACATATATATATATATTTATATATATATATATGTATATATATATATATATATATATATATATATATATAATATATATATATATATATATATATGTATATACCAACTATATGTATATATATATATACGTATATATATATATATATATACATATATATATATATATATATATATATATATATATATATATATATATATATATATATACATATATATATATATATATATATATATATATATATATATATATATATATATATATATATATATATATATATATATATATATATATATATATATATATATATATATATATATAGATATAGTTCTTCCCAGGAAGTGTGAATCATTAATACAATCATTAAAATATATGATATTTGATTATATTCGCTACTCCATAGAAACAGTCGCCTAATATCTTAATACATGCAAACAGCCCTGGTCAAGATGTCTAAAATAAAAACTTTGTCTACATGCTAGGACAAACAAAGAGTAAAACTGCACAAACTTCTTGGAGAGGAAATATATATACATATATTCGATTTGTTGAATTAATTATGTTTTTTTTATCTTTTTTTTGATTAAAAGATAGTCAAACACTTAGTATGTACAATTTATTACAATGTGCTTGTCAGCTATTTTATTTAATGCATGTACACTGCATGAAAACAAAAATAAGGAGATAAAAGGAAAAAAAAATATGTAAATATTAATATAAGAAAACATCTTTTTATATATTTGTTTTTTAAAGTCTTTAAAATAAGGATAAAATTTTATGTACTTCTGCAATTAGTATAACTTAAGGGTAATGGTTTTAACAAAACGAAGTAGCAAAATTGCCATCGTAAGTAAACAATTTTATATAGACAATAATTAAATATAGATTATATAGACAATAATTCTGTTTATAAAAAATTATAAAAGCAACAAAGATTTCTAATTACTTACAGAAGAAGGAACAATTACATTAAAAGATTCATACTCTTGTTGAACTGCAGCAACACAGACTCGACTCCCAGGTTGTATGGAATAGCTTCCTGGTGATGTAAGATATAAATATATGAAAAGAGGTTGGCCAGCTTGTAACTCAAGGATACCTGCAATACTGTAACTTGAATTGTTTGATGTTCTTATGTTAGTTGTAAACAATCCTGTTCTTTGGTTAGAAAATGTTGATGGATCATTTTGCAGAGAAAGTATCAAAGATAATGATGAAGATGATGTTTGAACATTGATTATTGCACTGATTATAAAAATTTATGTTTGAGTAAATGAAAACCTACAAAAAAATAAATATGCTATACATGCACACACACATACACATATATTTTTATGCACATATATATATATATATATATATATATATATATATATATATATATATATATATATATATATATATATATAAACATGTATATATATATATACATATATATATATATATGTATATATATATATATATATATATATATATATATATATATATATATATATATATATATATATATATATATATATATATATATATATATATATATATATATATATATATATATATATATATATATATATATATATATATACATATATATATATATATGTATATATATATATACATGTTTATATATATATATATATATATATATATATATATATATATATATATATATATATATATATATATATATATATATATATATATATATATATATGTGCATAAAAATATATGTGTATGTGTGTGTGCATGTATAGCATATTTATTTTTTTGTAGGTTTTCATTTACTCAAACATAAATTTTTATAATCAGTGCAATAATCAATGTTCAAACATCATCTTCATCATTATCTTTGATACTTTCTCTGCAAAATGATCCATCAACATTTTCTAACCAAAGAACAGGATTGTTTACAACTAACATAAGAATTATTGCACTGATTATAAAAATTTATGTTTGAGTAAATGAAAACCTACAAAAAAATAAATATGCTATACATGCACACACACATACACATATATTTTTATGCACATATATATATATATATATATATATATATATATATATATATATATATATAAACATGTATATATATATATACATATATATATATATATGTATATATATATATATATATATATATATATATATATATATATATATATATATATATATATATATATATATATATATATATATATATATATATATATATATATATATATATATATATATATATATATATATATATATATATATAAACACTTCTTGCCCACACTAAGGATGCTATCAAAGGAAGTAATTATTTTAATATGGTTTTTGCATATATTAACAAAAGCATGTAAAGTTTTAACTGAAATGAAATTTGCAATTACTATAAAAGTAATAGTTACTTTTTAAGTAATTGCAAATTTGCTATAATTAATTAAATCTATCAACTGCAGTATGCTTAAAATTTATGATTGCTTTTTTCGATAGCGTGCTTTTTTTTAATTTTCTTATTTTCCTCAAAGAGAAGCAATGTTTTTTTGCATATCAAAAAAACTTTTAAATGTTTGAAACAAATTTTTAAATTTGAATTAATTTATAATTTTATAATTTTATTATAGTTTTTATTAATTTTTGTGCGTTTAACAACGCCAATAATATAATGTTTTTATTAACTTATAACTAAATATTTAGTATGATATTATTTTTTAAAGTTTTAAAAAAGAGATGCTAAAACAACTTTTATTTCACTTTTAGCTCCTTTTATTTTCGATTCTTCAAGTTTTACGTCTTTGCAAGGGTAATAGTATATACATATATATTGATTGAGAGTTCAGATTTGGTTAGATAATCTTTATACTAAGAACATTTAATACGCAAAAAGTTTCCTATATTTATCTTCTTTGATTAAAAACCTGCCTTGCCTTTTAAAAACTTAAGTGTGCAAAATATATTAAGAAAAAACCAACTAAAATCTGCAGAAGTGCAAACATTATAGCAAACATGCATATATCACCTTCTAAGATTTTATGATAACTCACCTTCCATTACTTTTTACACTGTTGCTAGGCGTTTGAAATTGTCCATAACCAGATGTTGGAATTGGTATAGGAATGGTCAACCATGATCCTCCATAATCAACAATTGGCGCTGTAAGTATACTTGAAATTCCTGTGCATTTGTAATATAGTGCATTTGTAATATATAAGAACAATTGAAACATAAAATTTATGTTATGAAAAAGTACATTTGTAATATATAAGAACAATTGAAACATAAAAAATATGTTATGAAAAAAGACATAATATGTAAACACATTAATTACCATAATATAAAAACTTTATAAAGTTGTTACATAAGATTTTTATAAGTTATGATTTAATAACATTGTATTATCAGTTAATAATTTTAGTGCAACACTTTTGCATCAATCACCTATGAGATCCTCATAGTTGATTTATGCAACAAGTTAAGTGATTCTCCTACTTGTAATAGAATTATCAATAAATAATGATCAAAGTAATATTTAAGAAGTTCTTTAAGTTACATGATACAAATAGTTGACTTCAATTAAATAAGATCGTATATAAGAGTAAATGTATACATGTTTTGGGTGTGCACCTGCCAACATCATGTTTAAAAATCGATAAAAAAATTACCTGGTGTTGATCCACCTTCATTTACCAATATTCCAAAAAAGCCACTTTGCATTTTAACAATATAGCTCTCTGTGCCTCTGCTTACGATGACCACTGAATCTCCGATATTTAACTTTAATGATATAGACATACTAAAAGAAAATAACAAACTCTGTGGATCTGACCCAATATCAGCTCCAGTAATGCTACCATCTGGTACCCATTTAATAGAATACCAATATCATAATGACCACTCTTAGAAGCAGAAATTAGAATTTTTGCTGAAAACTGATAAATACCATCACAAATAAATACAAACTTTCCAACATCTTGAGAAAACCCAGTTCTGTTCTTAAACAATCCAGGCTTACCTTTAGCATTCCATTTTAAAATACTATTCCAATCATTGTTTTCTATGTAATATTCTTGAATCAAATATGAAGAAAAACCAGAAGCTTGGTTGTAAAAGCTAACAAATTGTATACAAAATGTTGATTCAGAACCTTCCCGAATTATCCAACTTTGGTCTAACTCAGAAAATACATAAACTGATACAACATCACCAGAGAACAAGCGAGTTGTTCCATATATTGATGAACTTTTGTATCCAACTGAATATTGAAAAGAGCTGGAAAGGCCAGGGTGACTGTTAACTAAGTCATTATTACTAACTAATGCTTCTTTAAAAACACCATTTTGAGCACCAGAAAAAGTTATTGTAGTAAACACTTGGTATATCCCAGATTGTGATACTTTAAAATCTGATGTATTGAATATGCTTGATGAAGTAAAGTGACCAAACCCAACTGAAACAGACCAAGATGATATTTTTGACCATCCAATAACAGCTATTTGTATGTTTTCATTTAGATATGAACTAACTGCAATATTTGAAAATGCTTAAGAAAAAGAGAAAAAACATCAATTTTTTCAAAAAGTTAATAACATATCTTATTTCCTAAAGATATATATATATATATATATATATATATATATATATATATATATATATATATATATATATATATATATATATATATATATAAATATGTATATGAAAACTAAGAAACTATAATGAATAAGCATAAAATAAACACACACATAAAAGGATTTTTTTTTCACTATCCCGTACGCAGCATTAGGTCTGACAAAACTGTTTTGTTCAGAAGTAATAAAAAGTAAGTGTTACAACCGACACTCTACTTTGAGTTAAATTATAAAAAAATTTGAAGACTTCAATGCTGTAACTTTTACATGCAAAATTATATAACAGTATTTTACAGTTCTTGAAAGTTTCAAGTCATTTCTGTTTCTGATTTATTTTTCAATAACTTAAAGCAAGTCAAATATTATGACTGCCACTCACGTGGAATTGCCCATGTAAATATATATATATATATATATATATATATATATATATATATATATATATATATATATATATATATATATATATATATATATATATATATATATATATATATATATATGTATTTGGGTGGGTCATAAATTTTTTTTCTTCTTGTTACAGGCATTAAACATTGCTAATAGTTATTAATATTAATACTATCAAATATGAGAATGATTGTGATAGATTTAAAGGGCACAACTTTATTGGGAAAATTAACGGTACCCTTATATTTTAGTAAAAAAAGTTTTTCAAAAGTAGGTCAACCTGGAACCCAAAAGAATCGAAATTTTTTTAAAAATTCAAAAATAATAATCGTTTTATAAAAATCATATTACGGAAAAAAATATTAAAAAATGCACCTTTTTTTACTTTTAGTTAAAAATCAATAGTTATTATGCAATAAAATCTAAAACAATAATTTTTATATAAAAAAACTATTATTTTTAAAACTTTTATAAAATTTTGCTTTATTTGAGAGTACCTACCTCACATAATTTTGAAAAAAAAATTTTTGAATAATAATAGGGCCTGCTAATTTTTGTAATTATAGTTGCGGGTGGAAGACATTGTTTAATCCATAAAAGTAAATACATTCCTAAAATAGTACATAAAAAAAACAACTTTCTAGACCATTGCCAGGTTAGCAACTCTAAAAAAAAATTTTATGACCCACCCTAATATATAAATATATATATATATATATGTATATATATATATATATATATATATATATATATATATATATATATATATATATATATATATATATATATATATATATATATATTAGTTGTTGTTTTTTTGTTTTTTTTGTTTATTTAAACATCTTCGCTTCCAACAAAGCTGCAAGCAACCACTAATTAGTGTTAGAAGTTACTGGAAGAGAAAAGATGAAGATTGTAGAGCAAGACAACGCTTGACAGACACCTTAATAGATTGCAAATTATATGAATCAGGAAAGCAAGATGAAAGAAGCGAATTCCAAATAACTGATGTTCGAGGAAAAAAACTAGACAAGTAAGAGTTTTTGGAGCACTTAGGAACAGTAACAGAAAAAGGATAAGACTTAATTGAATGACGTGTAACACGAGAATGAATTTTAGTAGATGGCACAAGAGACGCTAGCTCTTTAGAGCAGTGCCCATTATAGAATTTGTAGAAAAGAGAAAGAGAAGCAACATTATGACGATGTGACAGAATTTGAAGGTTGGCTGCAAGAGCAGGTCGAACTATGTTTACAATACGTTTTTGCATCTTGTCTAAAAGAAAAAGGGCATCATAAGAAGATCCACCCCAGATATATATATATTTTTTAATTAATAACCTCCTCAAATTCGAGGGGGCCACTTCAGTCGAGAAAGCTACTAAATTTTTTTTGTTGTAAATCGTTGTACGTAGATATGGCAACAGTATTCATTACCATTCATAAATATAGGAAGGTCTAAATTATTGCGATAACGATTGGCTTAAATAAAGTTTTATCTGAATTAAAGTTCACCAGCCACTGTAAGCCCCATGCTGTAGCAGAAGTGAGATCCTTTTCAAACTCAGATACCCCCTACAAGCAATCAGAGGGAGTTGGCTTCTTATCAGGACAAGAATAAATGGTAGTATCATCAGCGAACAATGCCACCTTAGATATGAGAATATCTGGAAAATTGTTAATGTAAATTAAAAAGAGTATAGGGCCAAGGGTTGAACCTTGAGGAACTCCTGAGGTTACAGATTAAAAAGAAGAGTGCTGTCCAACAAGGACAACTATTCAACTATGATTGGAAAGGAAGTATTCAATAATCTTAAAGATGTTTCCAGATACACCGTAAGAAGAAAGCTTATGGAGAAGACCAGCATGCCAAACTTTATCAAACACTTTAGAAATGTCAAGAGCAATGGCCTTAACCTCTCCACCTTTATTTTATGTGCAATAAAACCTATCGGTTATTACTGACAGCAAATCAGTCGTAGAACGAGAAGATCGAAATCCATATTGATGATGAGAAAGTAGGTTATGAGATTCGAGATGAGAGATTAAGTGTTTGTAGCTTTATGTAGCTCAAAAATATAAAAATTATAAAACATATCAATTTAAAAACATCTTTTATAGTAAACAACATTTTTTACCCATAATTGTTAAAACTAGTATTGAATGATCTGCAATAGTCAACTTTACTAAACGCATCAAACAATTGAAACTAAAAGATTTATTCAGTTGTAATACAGTATTGCAACATTTTAGAGTTATATTTTACAAAATATTTGATTTTTATGAAGATTCATTTGAAGACTCAGCATATAAATAAATTCAATTTATGTTGTATACTTCAGGAAAAAGGTTTTTCATTGGCAAATAAAATTGCATACATAACTGACATTGCATTAACTACATAAAAAAGAATTTAGTTCATAAAAAATTAGTTGATTTGAAAATTTAAAAAATAATTGCTGCTCATTGGGCACAATAGTTGGCTGATAATTAATACCCCCGCTGAAAATGCTTTGAAAATTTATTATTAGGTATAAGAAACAACTTTTAAATGTTTTCCAACTATACTTATTAAGAATTAAAGGTTTTAATTAAAAAATTCAATTAAACAAATTACTTGGTCAATTACTTAATGTAGAATTTCACAAAAGAAACATTTCTAGTTTAAATAAATAAATAAATAAATATCTTATAATAAGCCAGGACTCTTGTGTAATTAGCAAGAGTCTTGACTTATTATATTTTTAATTTTTTTTAACCACATTTTTTATATTTACAACTCTAAATAAAGTAGTTAAAACTCAGAAAGTTACCTTGTAAAAATATTTCTCTCTAAATAATTTAAATGATAGATTGGGTACATTGAAACTTGTTTTTCCATCTCTTCTAGAAACATTACCCCATAACAAATGACAATTTTAAAAAAATCTGCTGTAAATCTATTAAAAATTGTTATCAATAATAATTTCATTTTTTGAATGTAAAGCCACATTTTCTGCAAAAATATAAGATGTATTTTCAAAAGAGAAAACGAATACGACAAACGTTTAGCCAATATTTCTGGAAAAGATAGTCAGTATTTTTGAAAAAGATGCCTGGTAACATTTAGTATCTAAATCCTTAACATCTATTTCAAATTCATTCCATTTCATAAATTGAAATAGAAATGGAATTTTCAAATCCATTTTATGAATTTGTAGATGGTTGAATTTGAGTTGGATAAGTGGTATTCTTTTAAACATAAAAAAACAAGCGTTTAAGTAGAGTAAACAATTTCCTATTCAAAATTCAATGTTTAATAAAATTAATAAAACATGGCGGAAACACAGATTGTGAATTTGTTATTTAAAATTGAAAGCGAAAGTGTAAGAAATAAATTTCTTAAGCATCCGCATTAATTTTTTTAAATTTATCAAGGAATTTCAAGTTTTTTAAACTTATTTTAAATTTATAAAACTATCAAATTTACAAAATTTATAAAAATTATTTAATAACTTGTTAAGAATTATATCAAATCATTTAATAATTTTTAATAGTCTTTAGGAATCGAAAATTTGTAGATATTATGATGTGTGAAACCATATAATTATTTTAAAACTTCAAGATATCATTTACTACTTGTTTACTTATGTAATTATATATTTTCCTTATAGTTACAGACTTATTAAATTTTTTTCCAAAAATTCCCACCAAGTGTCTCTCATTCTGAACAATATCGTGCACTTGCAACTCAATTTATTTCATTAAAATTCTGTAGTGACGTATCTTAATTTTACTTTATGTATTATTTTAAAATATTAAACACTTTAATATACTCCTTTGAGTTAAATTTCAAACGTT